TTATTCCCCCAACTCGATAGATTTATCACCAAGGGTTCAGTAAGATTATCTGTTAAATTTCAGGATCTCTGCGCAGCGCACATTCAGCATGTGGCGCGAAAGATGTGTCACGCGGCCAATAATATTGTGGAGTATCAAAGGGGAAATGTTAAATCGGATCAGTTGCTGACTTTTAAAGGTAACGTCACACTGCGACACTTCCTTGAATTACTTCTGAAGCCGCAAAGAAGAACTAGTATCCTTATGTACCTTATAATTGCATTAAAATTTTTTCCACCATTTTTTCACTAGTGATTAATTACTGGGGTAAGGGTAAGAAACTGTTTGTGCTATCGCAACTGCGTGTAATGTTGTACGTAAGTTGCTTTTGTTGCTTATCATGTGTGATCGCACTGCCATGCAAGTAATAGTATAATGTAGGAAAATGTCGCGCCATTTTTGTAATTTTTCTTTTGAAACTCTCCTTAAACCTGTCTACAGTAACGACAGCTCCATCGTAGCAAACATGTTAACATGGTCGAATTATCTGCCACAACTTCCCGAGAGACGTTCGTGCCCCCTCTCTTCCTCCCCCCCGCAGGGAAGAACCTTCTGGTGCAGTTCCAATCGCCACTTTTATCAAAGCTTTGAAGAATGGAAATCTCGTAACGTAACGCGTGCGGACTCGTGCAGTCCCATTTATGAAACTGCTGGGGCCTGCAGAAAACTTACGGAAAGAATCCGAAAGGCCGGCCAAATTTTCCTACAACATATCAGAGGATTTCCGTAGTTTCATGAGATAGATGAATTATACGAAGTTATCGACAAAGGAGCGGCCTGACTAGGAAAATTGCATACGAGCGATTGCTTAAAGCAACAGTCCAGGGAGGGTTTCAACTAATCCAAAGCTGAGGTGTGGAAGCATGCCCCAGCCCAAGTGAAGTCGAAAGGAACTGTCACTGAAGTAAAAACTCACCTCTGAAATGCGTGAGAAGGGCTCGAAGTTCGTCGAAAAGGGCGGGTCAACCGAGCCTCGGTTGACCCGCCTCCTTGCTGCTGTGAAGAGCGCTTGCTCGAATAGCGGTCGTTGCGGGACCGCCGCGCTGTATCAGGTCGATTCCATAGAGCGCAACTTAAGCGCTTCAATTTCGATTGCTGGCAAATAGTTATGTATTTGCAAGCATGCATGGCTATTTGCCAGCAGTTGCAATTGGAGCGCATGTACTACGGGCAGGTTCGGACAACTCGTCCAACACACGTCTCCCTAAACGGCAGGGGGAGTCCCTGTCTAAGCCCCTGCCCGACGTTTTTTTCTACTTTTTCTTTCTCCATTGACCAACTTCTCACCTGCAACGTCATTATAGGTGGTCCTTACCCGCGAATTCGTTCCTGGATTGTTGCTTTAAGGTTTTGCAACTCAAAGCAGACCGAGGCTGAGCTGGCCTAGGTCTAAGTTAGCTCTCACTCTTTGACGCAATGGGAACAAAGTGTGGTGCCACTGTGTTTACCCTGGGACAAGGCACCAGTGTTGGACAAGGGTGCCTTTAAGATTTCTTCTTTGCCTGCTTAATTCATTTTTAACATATCAGTAGTTACTAGCAACCCTTCCTAAAATCTACGTCTAGCATAGTTCATAGGAATGTTCCACACGAGATATTTTATTAAAGTTTTAAAGTGTATTTTTTCATTTACTATGCTCGCGAGCATAGTAACTGAAATCTAGCATGGTCATGCGTGAGATTAACTACCTATCAAGGCTTCTTCAGCTTTTTATAGTCTTCTGACACATGTAGCGGTTTAAGAATGTATCAAGAGTCTGATGATTGACGACTAAGTTATAGGATTTTTATGATTTCCAAGTTTCCCTTGCGAAGTTCATTTTTTTGAAACGAGTATACAATTACGCAATGTAGATTGAAGTGTGTCAGAGTACATCACTAAAGTCGACTCTTCGATGGGAAAACTGCTATAAGGGACCGTTTCACCCAATTTTGAGCGGAAGTTGGGCGCGCCAATAAGGAGTGGTCCCACGAGCGCGCTATTTGCAAATTCCCATTGCCCTCGAAGGGTTAACAAACCTTCTCAACGGAACCAGTAGCTGCCTTCTTCAATCGCTGAATCGAACTCCAAGAATTTGAAATGCCTGCACGAAGAGCGTTCAAAACCGCTTATCGAGTCCAGTTTTCCACCTGACCATCGGTAATGGGATCCGGTTTAACTCGCTTCATAGTGATGATCTCGTCGCACACGGGACTTGAATGTTTAGTGTAAGCGTAGGGGATCGCTGTCAGGGGTTTATTCTCACATTTGGTCTAATGAGTTGGTTTTAAAGGGTCTTGGAAGATTTAACCCAAATATTTAGCACCTCGGTAGCGCTGAGTAAAACTCAAACATCTGGAGCACAGCTTGCGTCGCTTGTACTTCTATTACTGTACGCTTGGGTGAGCATCAAATTCCGGCGATAATCAGCAGAGCAGACTAGAACATCCAGATACCTCTCACTAATGGATATGATTAGTAACCGAAACCATTGAGCCGAGGGGGAAGTCCTCAAGGCAGATGGAGATCGCTTTGTGAGTGTGACGCCTTTCACGCCTTTGTTGTTTCTACAGATGATGACTACATGAATTGTTACTGTCACGACATATATCATCAGGATCCGTGGGTATGATCGCCAGTTACTAGTTTCGAGTGTTGAGATCCCGATCTGAGAGCAGCGAAAAAACTACGCCGAAAGTAGCGCATCGCGATACGAACCTGATTCGTCGTGATTCTAAGAGGAAAAAGGCGGTTTATGCGCTATTCATATAAATAGTCAAGTGTTGATGATATCTAATCCTATCCGAACCGCCTCTTCCTAGCTCTCTCGCATCGCTCACTTCCCACGCCTCTGGAACATCTAAGGAGATCTTCTCCGAGAATATCAGTTTACCTGATCTGTTTCTCGAAACTTCAACAAGTTTCTTTCCACTCATTGTTGGCTTATTGATAGATTGGGCCGGGTGAGCATTCAATTGAGCAGCCAAAGTTCAAAGGAGGAGTGCAAGTGATACCCTCACTATTCATAGGAGCAACATCTTTTTAGCTTCAATTCTGGCCCATGTCCCCTCAAGTGTAAGGCTGTGATCATGAGTCGATTTTTTGCCATGATTTTATTTTTTGCCTCTTCTTTTTATTTTATATTCTCTATACATACGCGGATTCTGGAAACTACAAACTACAGTAGTCGTGAATATTATCAATTTGACAACTTTTTTATCTTTACAAAGAAAGGGGTCAACGATCGGCGATCCATGGTCAGCAGCGTTTATTCAGACTATTTGGGCCGTATTTGGAGTTGACCGAACCAACCATTTTTGAAAAGTGCGATCAGGGTCGTATTCGTGAAAGACGAATGGGTCGTTGTCGTAGGAAGGGGGGTCGTTCTCAACGGATTCTGAGCAATTTTGCCGAAAACTTCACGAAAAAAGTGTGAATCATACAAAAATTGGAGGACTGCCATTTCATGAGACATATTTATCCTTCCTGGCCTCCTGTGGCGGCGGTTGACCCTGCTGTGATCACCTTATCATCATGAGTACCTGCAGTTGCTCTTTGTGCTTTTTTGGTGGGGATTCCGATTTGAGGCTTTCAGTATTTATACCTGTCACTCGAAATCGTCATGAAATTGTGTTCAAAAATCTTGAAATTAAGACCAAGTGCCGGATCCGTTATAAAGCTCCAGAAATTTCCTGAGGTTATTAATGAGCAAATTATCAGATGGGCCTCCTCTTCTTGTGCATAGCCGTGATCGGAGTCGTTCATGCGATTCCGGTCGACAACGGAGTAGAGGGAGAGCCGGAGATCGAATGCGGGCCCTCCTCGATCACAGTGAACTTCAACACAAGGAATGCGTTCGAAGGTCACGTTTATGTGAAGGGTTTATATGAGAATGCTGCCTGTAGAAGCGATGAAGGTGGCCGACAAGTGGCTGGCATCGAACTGCCCTTCGACCAGTGCAATACTGCTAGAACCAGGCATGTTTTGGAATATCTCGTGAGCCTTTCCTTTTACAATGAGCTATGTTCAGGTCGCTCAATCCTCGCGGTGTGTTCGTATCAACAACCATCGTCATCTCTTTCCATCCTCAATTTGTAACGAAGGTCGATCGAGCCTACAGAATTCAGTGCTTCTACATGGAGTCTGACAAGACTGTCAGCACCCAAATCGAGGTTTCTGAATTGACCACTGCTTTCCAAACCCAGGTCGTACCAATGCCTGTCTGCAAGTACGAGATTCTTGAAGGAGGACCAACCGGAGCTCCCATACACTTCGCCACCATTGGCCAGCAGGTATCAGACCCTAAATAAGTTCTTTCTCCTGCTCAGAAGGACAATTTTCTTAGGTATACCACAAGTGGACTTGTGATTCCGAGACCACCGACACCTTCTGCGCCGTCGTGCACACCTGCACTGTCGATGATGGAAACGGTGATACTGTCCAGATCCTAAACGATGAAGGTTGTGCGCTCGATAAGTTCCTGCTCAACAATTTGGAATACCCCACAGATCTGATGGCTGGGCAAGAGGCTCACGTCTACAAGTATGCTGACAGGTATTCTTTGAGAATCTATCCAAAGCGTTCTGTGCAGTTTTGGTGCATTCGCAGCTGATAGTCGTAACAGAGATGTTGTTCAGGTCGCAACTGTTCTACCAATGTCAAATTAGCATCACAATCAAGGAACCGAATGCTGAATGCGCTCGTCCACAATGTCCAGAGCCTCAAGGATTTGGCGCTGCCAAGGTGATGCTAGAATCGCTAAACCCGATCCGAATCGCATCAACATACGTTCCTAAATCGCTATAGGCCCGCTCCCTTGGAGATCCATGGTCAGAAAAGTACCAAAAGAACACTCACCACCCTATGAGCAGTACTCGTCATCCACCATATAAGATTAACTTCACGATGGAATTTCTCCTTTTTCTGGGGTCTTTTATGGGATGGAAACTCTTCAGAGAACTGAAAACGCTGAGTTTACCGTTAGCTGACTGTAGCAATTCACTTATACAGTAAGCACTCACAATCAGAGGCACACGGAGCGCTCATGTCCTTAGGGGGGACATCAAAGTGAGTGAGCCAATTACTGTGCCTGGGAAATACTGTGTTTGGGACTAATCCTTAGAGAGGGGAAGGGATTTTGGAGGAGAATGTGAGCAATTTGGGTTCTCCCTGGTGTTTCTCCCCTATGCTGGGCTTAATCCTGGTCTCACCTAGGCCCTGTTTTGAACGCCACCCCAAGGACATGAGCGCCGCATATGGATATCTAATAAATTCAAATGAGTAAGGAATAGAAACGTGATCGAAAGGCAGTTGGTGTTGACAAGTCCTTTTTGGGATGCGCCGTGCCACCTACTTCCGTTCAGAACCGTGCTAGCGATTTATCGACTCACATCTAGGTAGCCCCGCAATGGTTTTCCTCCTGAGCAAATCTTGTACCAGCAAATGACTGAGGAGGGATATGATGGTTGATGAGCCTCGGGTTAGAAGTTCCAGTTGTCACAACACTACAACCCCTTCGCCCATATGCGAACGAAGCTCAAGAGGCATATTGTATGGCCAAAGGCATAAATGATCACCATTAACCGAGCTGCTTCTTCCAGATAGACAGATGTGCTGCTACTACAGAAGGAGGCAGCAGATTTGCTCCATGTCTCAGTAATTTTGCCTTGAATATTTTTCTATAATCTTGCCTCAAATATGGCTCCAATAACCTCTCAACATGGCCCCTACGCGCCTGGCATACATTAAAGCCAAGGAAACTGCATCAGAAACACCGAAGTGGCCCATCATCTAGGTGCTGGTGATCACTATTGCACAGCCCCAAAATGCACGTGATGCATGATTCAATTTGTTCCCGGATATCTTGAGTGATTCCGAATTCTCCAATGATTAGTTATCTTTAAAATTGTTTATTTAGACTGGAAGCGCGTCACCGCAGACTCCTCGAGCAGCGCCGGCCGCGGCACAGCTGCGACTGCTGAAGAAGAGGGATGCCGGAATGGAGAGCACACTGGATGTCCGCGCTGAGCTCAGTGCCCTGGATATTCACGAAAAGGTAATTGGTCGTGTTCAAAAGCATTTAGAAAAAAGCTTCCAAGGGAACCTGTGCTACGTAAAAGGCAATGTTTCAGAATGACGAGCTTCCTGCTGAACTGAGGATGATCTCCCCTCTGATAGGCATTCCCAACGGTATTTGCTTGTCGCCGTTCGGTTTCTCGGTTTTCGCAGCAGCCGCGGTCTCGTTGATTGCCGCCTCCGTAGTGTTGGCTTCTTACTCACTACGAACTAGGAACAATTGCAAAGTTTGAGAATTGCATTCGGCTCCGCTCAGTGTGCATATGGATATAGATTTTATTAATTAATAATTGTAATAATAAATCATAAAGATTCGATACTATCTCCAGCTGTAATTATGCACCGGCATTTTTAGAGAAGGGGAAGAACTCTTTTAGCCATAAAATGAGATAACTTGGTAATTTTTTCTGTAACCCAAAAGATCCACTCATTGTCAGTCCTGCATAACTCAGCTGCGCCTATCGAATCCGAAACATTGTTCGATTGCCAGTCAACGCGCAGAAATGTTGCTTCATGCTCCATTTGAGCCAATCTAAATGGTAAAAGGCTGGGTTGGGGTGGAAAACGATTGACAGACAGACAGAGCATCTGCGACAAGAAAGAGAAGGGTTGCAGTGAGTTGAATGCCTGAGGAGAGAAAAGAGACTGGTCCCGCACTTGATCCGCTCTTCAATCACGCTTGATAGCAGGCGCTTCCGTTCCCTTAAAAATTTCAGACCTCTGAATCGGTCTGAGGTAGCTGGAACGATAAATTGAATTTCAAAGAGTGTGACCTATGCCTACTTCAAAGGGACGCGTGACTCTAGAGGGAACGAAAAGTGGCGTTATTGTGTCGGAGGGCTCACCAGGGCGGCGATAGAAACGGCTTATTCCGTGGTGTCGACCGCCTGCAGCTGACGGGCTCGGTCTGGGATTGGTTGACGATAAGGGGTAAGTGGTAGCGGCGAAAGAGAGTCGAAGCGAGGCGCTCACATTGATGACGTCATCTATCGGAGAATCTCGTACAGTGCGCAAAACAATCCGCAAAGAAGGTCCTGTCGCGCGGCTTTCCAGTACTTTTCTTCCTCACCATTGCAACACATACTTACTAAACTTCCTTCTCTAACCACGAACCAATCTGCCGTTGAAGTACCCTGTTTTTTAATGCAGATGAGTCACAGTGGATCACAACTTCTCGAGGATCAGGTTAAAAGGAGGATAAAGCATTTGCCGTTGATCAATCCCTTTTTGGGATGCGGCACGCATTCTACTTCCATTTGTACATTCGTAGTGGCGTTTGAATGCGATGTGGCCTATACAATGACTTGCGGGGCCGATGTACAAGTCAGTGTTTTTATCCTCCCAGACAAGTCTGGTACCAATTAACCGACCCCGGAGGGATGGAAGGCTTGGTTGGCCCGGGCGACTCACGACCCAGGATTTGATCCCCGGACCGCTCGCGTGGTAAGCGCGCCACTTGTCACTACACCACTTCCGCCCGGGTCAAGTGTTTATATTTCGTTTTTCGAAACTTTTATCTTACGCTTCCAAGCTTGTTAGCGAATCTGGGCGATATCCGGATTAGTGAGATGCATAATGGGAACTGCGGAGTGTGCCTAGCATAGCAAAATCGTTGGCACAGCGATAAAAATGTCCGGTTGAGAAAAAGAATAATATGACACTTACATCAGCAGAGAAAAGGTTATGAAGCATTCAAAACGACTGGAAAGATGTTATAGGTCAAACAGAAGAAGGCAAAAATACGCACTTGGACAGGCTCACTGATCACACGCTTAGTGATATTAATCTAACGCATATTTCACCCGCGCACACAAATTTTACCCGCATGAAGCGTGTAGTATGTGGGATGTATCATGAAGGACCCCCCAGCGCGAAAGGTATCATATATTCCATCAATGATAATTGGACCGACCGATAATCCACTTTGCAACATGGAGCGAGCAACTGTTTAAACGGCCCGATTGTCGATTAATGATACCGAATCGACGCGCCCATTCGCTTAGCATCCGCTGGATCCGCAGCTGTATGCGACCCAACACGGAATCGAACGTTGGCGTCAGCGCCGTCGCATCCAATGTGCCAACGACTCAAATAGTGGCGGGACTAAACGTTCAATTCAGGAAGCTGCACTCTTCGCGAACAGTGTCACTGTCAATCCCTTTTCTGAAGATGCGGCACGCATTCCACCCCTTGCAAATGTCAAGTCCAGCGCCGCCACTATGCAAAACGGCGTGTCCTACTGTCACGTGACCCTTTTCGAAAGTACGCGAGCTTCCTTTGAACGTTGGGTCCCGCCACTATTGAGTATTGAGTCGCTGGTACATCGTTCGACTCGCTGGTGCATCGTTCGATTCGCTGGTGCAACGTTCGATTCGCTGGCGCAACGCTCGGATCCAGCGATTCGCTAGCGAATCGCTCGATTCGCAAACTATGACATCGGCCTAAGCGTTAGGGCGCGCGATTGAATTGGAACACTGGTACAAACGTCCTTTGAACAGGACTAAGCCTGGAGTATAGTTTACCATCCATTCCGCGACAACTTTACAGGAGCTCCGCGAAAATTCGTACAGCGTTCGCCTCACCAAGCACACTGCGTGCCCATCGCGGACATGGTTACGGTGGCATCAACACAAGCTACAAAAGAATCGTTTCGCTGAAGATGATTTGACGTTAACAATCTGCAACGTAAAATACTACGCGACGCGGTCTTGACTGTGTTTCACACTTTTATAACGCAAATAGCACCACTGTGTCGATGGTACTGAGCAAGGGGAGAGGTTCACACATATCTTAATCTTTTTTCGCCCGTGCATTTTTTTACAACAGTTCTTTAGATCTTGGATCTTGAGGCAAGCCCACACCAAGGTTAGGACAGTGTTTTCTATCAATAAAAGGAAACGTGCCGAACCAAGTTACAAAAGGCTCGGGCCAGCTAGTGCTCTGAAAAGAGGGCGCATCGTGGAGGGGAGGGAACGGGGAGACCAGCTCGTAATACGGACACGCTCAGTTCTAAGAGTGAGTCTTAGAGGAGACGAGAGGCCCCGGGATACGTGAGCAATTTCCATTCTTTGCGGGGCTCGTGCCTTTCCACTGAATTAGTTCTAGGACCTTCCTACAGACTGGTCTACTCAAGGCCCAAAATAAAACGGTATGAAACAGAATTGAAAAATCGGAATGGATTGCTGAGATCGTATATGTACGTTACTCAAACTGCTACTCGTTCTGCAAAAATGAAGTCGAAGTACTGCTTTTTTGAGCAAGCAACAACGTAGTCCTAAGGCCGCGTTCATAGTTCGCGACTCCGGAGATTAGGATAGTACGCGACAATGAAAAACATATGTATTGACGGGGAGATTAGGATAGTAGTAGATTAGGATAGTGCGCTGACAAGATTAGATATGTATTGATCTATTCGCTTGAAGTCGCCCAATCTACTACTCTCCAGCGATTTCAATCGATACGTATCCAATCTTGTCAGCGCAATCTCCTACTCTACTACTATCCTAATATCCTGTCGCCTACTATCCTAATCTCCCGAGTCGCGAACTATGAACGCGGCCTAACAGTTCTCCAACTCTCCAATGGATAATCT